CGTTTCACCTTTGTATAATCCAATGTTTTGTGCGTAAGTTGGTGAAGTTCCCACTGCTTCCGATTAGGGTCCGGTTGTTTCTCTTCGCACGGGAATGTGAGGAGACGTGCATCCCCTCGCTTTGTTCATTAATCGAGTTCCCATCTCTAGTCTGCGCCAGTCATCGTCCCAATATTAATGCCCTCCTTTGGACTCCTTTTAAGGGCAAATAATGAAAATATTACTTACAATACTACTTATAGTCTTTTATTAAACACAATCTTTACATTCCAATCCATTCATTGTTTTGCCTTCCTTCATTTGGATTTTTAACATCTACCACATCATCACAGTTCTCTAGCTATTAATCCCAAGGTAGATTGTATAAAGGTGAAGAAGTTACCAAAAAAGAGACCACTTCGGCTTCCAGCACTGGAAGAGTTGGAGAGACTTACCATTTCACGCATCAATTCCACGGCAAGTTTCCATCAGCATGCCCGTCGAATGAAGTAGTAATGAGTCAGCAGACTTTATCGAATCGGACCACTCACGGCCCTACCCACTTCTTACACCGCTTCCACACCACGACCCACATTTGAAGTAACGCCCACCTCCCACTGGAGATAGGACTGAATGAGATAAGTACTATCCATAAATTCCTAAATTCTACTTACCCAACTAGCACTGGTGGGCGGCGGTTTTAACTGCCGATCTGGTTTCCATCACCTCGTCAAAATGACGGCCAGGGTGACTCACTTAATGCCCCACTTTTTGGAAATAACACCGTCGATTATTTGGTAGAAAAAAACCAAAACAATACTTAATCCAGCATCAAACTATTTGCCTCCATTGTTTGCTTTCATTTGAGTTTTCCGTCTGTACGGTTGCAATGATACTTTAACCAACTCTACAATATGCAAAATGTAATAACAAAATTTTCGCACGTTTTATTTCAATGGATGCAATTTTGGGGAGCATTTACCAACCGATAAACAGGCTCGTGTCCTCAACTGCAAGAGGTCAGTGACGTCTATAAGGGGTGGGAGAAAATTTAACGACCGTATGCCCAGTGGATTGGTCAAGTCAACTGGTATGTGCATCCCCTCAGCACTGCCCAATGGCATCACAAGGAGCTGGCAAATCGCCTTCCCACTGGCCCACTCGGATGGAAAACTCCCGACCCAAAAACTTATTAAATGTAAGTAGACACTTGTAAAAGCATGGGCAATGGGAACACAACTATGGGCGGCTTCAACAAGTCCTGCTCCCATCAAGCCTTAAATACCTCCCATCAGGCGACTTCAGAAATAGCGCTTGTCGGTTTTAAACCAGAGGAGTTGACAATTTACCTTACAGTGACACTTTTTATGCTGGTTGTCATGCTTCTTAAACTTGGTTATAGAAAAGTTCCACATTTGGGTGCCTACTTTCCCGAATCTCTTCTCCTCATGTTGGTGGGACTGGCGTTTGGAGCGATTATTCGCTACACTGACAGTGGTTGCACATATGCTAATACACTACGTCTTTCTCCGAACCTCTTCTTCACCATTCTCCTACCACCCATCATGCTTGAATCCGCCTACAGCATCTACAATAAAAAATTTGGTGAAATTTTTGCAACCATACTTTTCTTTGCCGTGATTGGAACTGTGCTCAACTTCCTACTCATTGGTTTAGGACTTTATGTTGTGGACAAAACAATTGGCCTAGGTGAACCCAAGCTCTACTTTGGAATAAAGGAGTTTTTCCTCTTCGCCTCTCTCATTGTTGCTGTAGATCCGGTGGCTGTGTTGGCGATATTTCAAGACATAGGCGTTGATCTCAATCTGTATTACATGGTTTTCGGCGAGTCATTGTTGAATGATGCTGTGACAGTTGTGCTGTACAACATAATGAGTGCTTTTGTGGCATCAACAAGTGTGAGTGGATGGCAGATAGCAGTGGGCATTGGATCCTTCTTCACTGTCAGTTTGGGAGGAGCTGTGATTGGACTTCTTCATGGCATCTTCTCCTGCTTCTTAACGCGTTTCAGTGTAGTCTCTGAGACTATTGGCATCCTCCTAACTAGCTACTTAGCCTACATTGTTGCCGATTTGTTCGCTTGGTCTGGAATTATCTCCATAATAGTCTGCGGAGTGTTTCAATCGGCTTATGCTTTTCATAATCTCACACCATTGTCTGTTATGGTGTTGGAATCGGCTGTGGAACAGGTAGCGTCAATTGCTGAGGCCATTATTTTCCTTCTTCTCGGTTCTGAAGTCTTTGCACTCAATCTTCGATGGCATGCTGGATTTTTGATCACCTCTTTGCTGCTTAGCGTGATTGTTCGATTTGTTGTGACTGCAATCCTATCCATAATCGTAAACAAAAATCGGTCTAAACAGAACCGAATATCGTGGTCCGAACAAATTATAATTAGCTATGGAGGACTGCGTGGAGCTGTAGCATTTTCACTAGCTGTTCTAATCAATGCTGAAAGCCTAGGTGACGGATCACACCTTGCAAGAGATGTTCAAGTAACCGCCGCAATCGCTGTCATTTTCTTCACCGTAGCAGTGATGGGAACAACTATTAAACCATTGGTTCGATTGCTCAACATTCGCCTACACTCAGACAAGGACTCTGCAAGAAATCTTTTTCTCACTCTAAATGATTCAGTGATGGAGGATATTCTTGTCTTCATTGAGGAGTTAATGTCATCACGTGGTGTTCACTCCTTTGTGCGTGCATTATCTGCTTTTGACGACAAGTATATCCGACCCATACTACAAAGAGATGCTGCCACCCATGAAATGCGAATTGTTAATGCGTATGCAAAATTAGCACTTCAGATTCACTCCGAAGCTATAGGAACACGCGGTCCCTCAGAACCCAAACAATCAATTGCTCGTAGTGAGCGGAGCATTGAAGAAGTGCCACCAAAAGATGACATTGGGGTAGAAATTATACCTGACTTACTGTTTTCATCAAGTCTACCATCTGCAAGTTATCGCCATCGGCTAACACTGGCAGCCATATCTAGCGTAGGTCCAGAGGTTACGTATGGCCATGTCAAAAATATTAATTTTGCGTCAGCACAAAGAGCACAGTTTGCGAAATTGAGTCGTGCTCAAGCAACCTTTGCGAGAACGATGGATTTATATGCACGACAACATGAATCCATGGAGCCAACCGAACCCAAGGAGTCGCGCCATGGAATTAATCGACACAGAGGCCAACTCATACGGCAAATTGCAAATTGTACAGATAGTGAGACTCATTCTGCAACGAGGTCTCAAGGATTGAAGCTGCATTCATGTCGATTGGAGCCAACACCCACCTCCATCACACTTGCTGCAATGCAGGAGGAGAGGGAGGCACCAGAGGATGGGGAACAGGAAATGAAGGAGGGCAGAGGTGTTCGCTCAAAGTCGATTGATTTGTAACAGGAAAGTAACCTAAGTAGTATATATTCCATAGTTTTGCGTTTTGAATTTATGATTTTGGAATTCTTAGCTATTTTTCAATAAAATGCCCTGAATAATCATGCAACTATGCGCCCTGGTTGGAGTGTTGCATTAGCGATGGCTTAAATAGTCGCAAAGTCTAACATTAAATTAAACAAATTATCTAACTACTTTATGCAACAAATAGAATCAATTGGTTTGTATGAAGTTTTGGTCAAAATACAAAAAATCTTTACACGAAATGGATTCCCTGATCCAAAATTTTTATTGGCCTTATTTTTGTGCTTGCATCATTGGGCAGTCTCGATTGACTTAGTGAATTGCATTTCGAGGAAATTTCGCGACATCTGGACAACTGCTATTCCAAAAATTCGTCAACAAAGCGGCTTCAAACTGCTAGGGAGGAAGATATATAAAATGAGTACAGCAATTTCATTCGGACAGTCAATACCAAAGTACAAATCCGTGAGCTTAACATAATAGTATCGTTACGAAGACCACATGGAATTTTTATCTTCCTCTTAGGCGCATTTAGCAAAGCCCTGTATAATCACATGCCTGACACGCATCAGAAAATTATTTTTAAAGAGCAACACTTAATCACTGGAATAGGTCAAGATGAATGGCCTGTCAAAAGTGCTACAGCGCAGCAGTTTGCAGTTTCCAAACTACTGACATTTAGTCACCTTAAATGGTGGTGAGTATTCCAAAAGTCTATTCTCAAATCTTTTAAACTACAGTCGATTGCTATGGTCGGTTGTGAAATCTGTATTCCAGGTATTTGGTTTACCTTTTCCTCTTGCAAGTTATACTATAAGGAGTGCCTCTAACAGTAGTATAGTCTATTGCGACCTCGAAATTAAAGTAATTTCATTGCTGTCAGCATGGTACTGAGACCGTCTTAAGGGCGGATAGCTGGAGCTGTCAACACAGAAAGGAGTGGGACCACTGCCAACTTCAGAGAGACCAGGTTGCCTACAGAAGTAAAAATTTGTATTCACTGATTGTCGCCTAAATTTTCCTAGCAATGCCAAGAGGATAACCCAAAAGGGGACAGCATTTGTGACTCAACTTCCATTCAAAACAAGATATATTATAAAGAATAAATATTATGCAATGTCTCGACGTCATTTTCAAATTCAAATTTTCCATTCGGTCCTCGTGTTTGATTTAAAAAGCCACAACGCCTCCTTATGATAAAGAGTTATGCAGTGAAAAGATTCTACTGCTTCAAGGCTAGTTATAAAGTCTGAGCATAACGCCACGATGACGTTTCATTGGTCGTGCTTCACGACATTTCAGTGAGTTCATGTATTTGTAAACAAAAAAATGCGGAAAATGTATTTTAAAGTATTCCGTTAGATGGCTGGAAGCTAAGACAAACATGTTTTATGTGCTGGTGTAGTACCGTGTAAGCACTGCTTCCGACAGGAGAGAAATGGATGTGACCCCACGCCTGGAGCGGTGTCTTCTGCGAGGCTTGAGGTGTGGGATGTCCATGACCTCAATTCACCTTGCTGACCTCCATGATGGGACTGATTTGTAAGACAAACTCAAAAAAGGCCAAAGATTCACCTTCCACTCTGACGCATCCCAGATGCTACTAGTTCTACTTTTGTCCTTAAGACGACCTCCTACCCCACCATCTCCGTTACCCACCTGTTCAACCGTTGGTGGGATTGAGTTGAGTCAACTTTTCTGTTGCTTGCACAGTCACAAAGCGAAGAAACGAAGTCGTGGTCATCTTAAAAATGCAAAGTAGATCTCCCATTGCCAACAAATGATGCATGATCGTTTGCCTATTCAGAGTTGGAAGCGAAAAAGGGGAGCCACCTCTCTTTCGCTCTCCATTAATTGGTTTATCGGTCAGTCGTCAGCATAGCATCAAAATGTGTATGTGACGCAGTTTTATGAGGTGCGTAAATAAGTTAACAGTTTTTTTCCAGCTCATTTTGCCTATTAATGCAAGCTGGTCCCAACTCGTCCCCTCCACCACTCCCCACCCCTCCCCCGACCGCTTTCCCTCCTCTGTTAATGTTATACGCGTGAATGAATTGTTCCAACCTCCACATTAAACATAAAACGCGAGGCGTTCTCGATGCACTAACCTTCTGCTAGCTAATTTTACTTCCTCATTAGCATTAATATAGAGACATTACAAACTATCCTCACTCATTTGGTATTGACAGCTGCTATCTGTGTGTGCACGTGTGTTTTGATATCGAAAAGGTCCCCAAACCCTACCACCGGTTAAACTCGGGTTGTAAAGCTGTCAAGCTTAAGTTGTAGCCATCAGTTATGTCTAAATGATTTATGATGATGTGGGAAGAGATTCAAAATAAGTGCAAAGTAAAAGGGAGAATAAAAGCCTCACACACATCTTCCCTCCATAATGTCTAAAATTAATTGCCTGTACTTTGCCACTTCTTACACGTAGGAAGGTATTTTATGAAAGTAAGTATATGATACAACTTTGTGTAAATCAAGCCATAACAGTGAATTGAAAAGGTTGCCATGGCATCCAACACCGCGTTCTATCATCTGCTTGACTAAGAGAAAAGATGGTGTGGATAAATAAAGTATCGTTAGTGGATTGAAGTTAGCGCAGACGCTAAAACAGGAAGTTATCCAAAAGGCGATAAGATAAGCTCTCTCCTTCTATGTGAGTTTTACTTCTCCTTCAAACCTCTTAAAAAGTGATGACATTAAATCGAAGAAAGCAGGACACAATACGTTTTTTCCCCGAAGTTGATGAAGGAGAAGAAGTGTCATAGAGAGGCTTTGGTAGAGTCTGAAGAGAGGTCAGGATCATTTTCAAAAGTTGAATCGCCTTTTGAAGAATAGTCGGCTGGCAATTCTAATGAACCCGCCTCAGGAACTGCATTGCTATCCTCCTCCTCCTCCTC